GAGCAGAATTGCGGGAGAACTACGACGTCGTGTCGGCGAGCGACCACGAGTGGTGCACGCTCACGCGCTACAACTGGGCGTGCGTCGGCGACGCGTACGCGGCGGTGCTCAATCGCACGCGCCCCTACCGGCCCTGGCGCTTCCAGCTCGCCAACCTCCCGCTGGGCACGCGCGTCTTCGCGGACGGGAACTCGTACCTCGCGGAGCGGATGACGACGCTGCTCTGCGGCTGTCATTCCACCGACGTCTTCAAGTTCGACGTCACGGTAGTGTAAGCGAAATTGAGCCCCAGGAACTTCACATCGAGGTCGTTGTAGAGCCACTTCATCCGCAGCGCCGGGTGGAGGAGCGGCGCCATCGCCGCCGTCGCGTTGGCCCAGGCTCGGGCTGAAACTTCCTCGCGGAAGGCGTCGGGCGTCGCGGACCGCACTTTCGCTCGCGGGGTGCCGGGTCGGTTCGGGCCCGGGAGCCGGTGGTGCTGCTCGTCCTTCTTCATGGACGCGGCCGACGTCCGGTGGATGACGCCGAGCATGACGTCGGGCTCGAGGCTGACCCCCAGGAACGACGCGAGCCGGTAGTACTCGTCGACGGGGTTCGCGGCGAGATCCTCGTAGAACAAAATCAGGCTCGGGTGCGTCCGCCGGACCAACTCGTCGTGCCAGTAGTAGCGGAGCGACACGAGCGCGGCGCACTTCGGCACCGTTTCGATTATGTAGTCCTCGGAGGCTTTCCCTTGCGACGTCAGGTTGACACGTTCGTTGTAATGAGCCCAGCTGACGACAACGGCGCGCGGGTCCCGCAGGATGAGCACGTAGCGCGCGTTGACCGGGAGCGGCCCGAGGAACGCGGGCGGCACGCAGGCCTCGGACCCAATGGTGATGCCGTCATCGACGCAACGTTTCAAGAACGCATCGAAAGACCGTTCTATAGCGACATGAACCGCAATCGCCTTGCTCATGGCGCCCGGCAGCCTATGCTTTTCGTTAGAAACAAGTATTTCGTTGGCAAAGTTCGCGGAACGCGTCTTATTATTTGCCTTGCCGCCGCCGGCCGTAATGATGGCAACGGCGATGACCTCCAACCACGTGGTACCACTTTTTGGTTGGCCGTGGGTTTCCACGACGGTTCCTTCAGTTTTGTTCGTCTGAACGCGAGTGTCGTTGTTCGTTGCGGTGCCGAGGGCGAGCACGGCGATGGAGAGGACACGGAGTCTCATAATGTGTATATATATACCGGAGTACAAGACGAAGCGGCCTTAAAATGGCACCACAAAAGGAAAATTGACGCCCGCCACGGCGCGCGCCCAGACCGGTCACGACGGACGACCCGGGACGCGTACGTGACGCCGCAACTCGCCCCCTACTGAACGCCGGCGACCGGGACGAGTTTTACGCGTCCGACTCCTCCCAAAGTACGCAGTTACGCGCGTTCGGTCGGACGGGACGAGAGCCAAAGCAGGGAGCAAGCACGCCCGGATTCCTTGTCGAAGGCCGTTCAAATGCCAGCCCTTGCACCTCATTGGCCGACAGCGCCGTCTCTCTGTCTCCTCGCGAGCTCCGCGCGTCACAACGCTTCCAGTTTCGGCTTGAGCTCGCGGCCCGGCGCCGCCGCCGGCGCGCGGCGCCGCGGCGCCCGCCGTCGAGGCACATGCCGCCGAAGAAGAAGCCGAAGCAGTCCCTCTCCAGCGACTTCGAGTCGGCGGAGGCGGCCATCGCGGGGAAGGGCTGGGAGCGGTCGTTGGGCTGGAAGGTCGTCAAGGCGCGCCCGAGGGCCAGCGACGGTGGCGTGACGTACTACACGCTCAGTTACTGCTGCTACAAGTCGCGGCGGGACCGCATGGCGAAGAAGTCGCCCACGCGGGAGCTCATCACGACGTCCATGGTCCCCGGCTGCCCCGCGCGCTGGCGCACCCACAACGAGGCCAACCTCGCGATGGCCAAGTACGTCGCCGTCGTCGAGGAGGCGGGGCGGGCCGGGCGCAAGCGGAGCGCCGGCGGCGACGAGGGGGACGTCGAGGTCGGCGGCGGCGGCGACGACGACGTCCCGGACGCGCCCGCGCTCGCGGCGCCCGCGCCCGACGGCGACGGCGGCGGCGTCGAGGACGGCGACGACGACGACCCGGACGTGCCCGCGCTCGCGGCGCCCGCGCCCGAGGGCGACGACGGCGGCGACGA